TGCGCCCAAATTCAACCCCGTGTTAGAAGATGTAGTATCAAAGCAGAGTCCTCGCACGTAGGCCTTTAACTTCCACTCTTCAAGAACATTGAGACAAGCATCAGCCTGTTCTTTGCCCGTGCCTCTATCAATCTTTGGAACTGCTAAAAGCTTTTCTAAACCACCGCCAGTGACAAGCACAGCCACTCGATCGACTTTTTGCGTCCCTCCAACAATGTCAGGCAGCAGTTTACCATCCCAATGCAAAACTAGAGGATGCTCGAAAGAAGATGTTGTTTTGTCAGTTTCCACAACAGTTTTGCGAATTTGATTTCTTTTACGACGTATTGTACTACGTGATAAAGAGATATCTGCTATTGGGGTTCCTAAAGCCTGAGCTATTGATCCAACGACAAACATTGCATTCCGATCAGACAAGTTTACACGGTCAATAGATGCTACAACATCCTCAGTAAATACACTTTTAATATTGGTGGGTTTTTTTATATTTGTTGAAGTAGAAGGAACTTGAAACTCATCACCCGATGAACAGTTTGAGCTGCTTTTACAAGAATCCATTATTTCGGAATCGGATGCTATTTCTAAGCTCATTAGCGTTTTTTCTTGATTATGTTGTCTTCTAGTTTCAGCTTCTACTTCTCTTTTTCGTTTTCTAATTTCTTTTTTTTCTTGCAGCTTGTCTACACCTGCCATACTGCAGCTCATTCTGTCTTCTCTCTGCATTATTAAAAATGTTTTGTCTTCTTCATTTTTCATTATTTTTAATGCATCCTTAACAGCTATGTCAAAAATATCAACTAAGTCTCCTTTAAATACCAATTCTTTCATACGGCAACTATCAAGATTTGTTTTTCTGTTCTTTTTTAAAAGATAGTATTCATCCACCAGTTTACTTAGTTTTCTTTCAACTGAGTCAATTCTTTGAGTAGGTATCCTTGCTTTTTCCCAAACTTCCAAAACGGATTCCGCTGTAGACCTTATACTTTTTTTAAAAGTTTGTTTTTTTTCCTAAGTGGTGAAAGTGAAAAAATCTTAGTACATCCTCTTTTGACGGAAGTCTAGCAAATGAAAATGTTTCTGTAGGTTTTCCAATCAACCACACGGTAGCTGATGTTCTTGTTGATTTTAAATTGCTGGTGGAAGCCATTATATTATTTAAGACAAAATCTAATATAATATTTTGTAATAACTATAGTTAAAAATTTAATAGGTAATTCACAAAAATAATTTTGTTTTGATTATCAAACAAAACTTTAGAATAGTTAAAAAAATGTCAATAGCTTCAACGGACACCAAAGTGTTAAATATTTCAAATGTGATAATAAAAAAGTACAATCATTAATATATGTATTTTAAATTAATTAATAACCGCAGGTAACGTTTCAAATACTCACGTGTTTATAACAAGCGATGTTGACTCAACAACAGTTCAAAATAAAATGTCGATAAATGGTTTGAAATGTTAACTCATGTCGCACCATTTCAGTTTTAACTGGACAACCAATAATGTAAATAAAATAAGATAGTAAAGGAAAATACAATTCATTTTTGATGGACAATGTAAAATACTCATGGTTATTATGCACAGCTATTATCTGTTCGTTATCGGCGGTTAATGATTACGCTAGAATAAAAACCATTGATAAATTCCTATTACTTCTTACTTACAAATCCTAGCGACCTCTAAATATGTTTAGAATGGGCTAGTTTATGGCGTGAACATTTATTTTTGACTAAGAAACAAAAATATGGTTGTGGAGCTCAGAAAAAAAAACTTTTTTTTTTACCCATAAGATTTGGACCACCCTAGTGTACATAGATATAAATTTAGAAGATGGTTTTTATAGTAATATTGAATAGATTTTCATAAATAAATACCTTCGAAAAAAAAATGTATGACTTAAAATATCCATCAAAGTTGAAATGGGTCATATGTACCCCAACGCGACTATGAACGTTATAATTTTTTTTTGGACTTGTATTTTTTTTCAAAATATCGTTTTATAGTAAATGCAATGTTATAATCGATATAATATTGTAGAATTGAAGGGCTCCGTGCAACAACAAGACAAGTCCACCTTTTAAAATTGTTCAGGGGACATGTTTTATTTTACCAAAACTTTAAAAATTTATATTTTTATTTGTTAATACGACATAAGTATCTTGAATGACTTGTTAATAGTTGAGTGAAGTCAAATTTCATTTTAAATAAATTTTTGATCTTCTAAAATAGCTTGAAAGTATGTAACATATGGACTTACCTGGTTTTTTGCTCATTAATTGTAAAAAACTTTCCCAAAATTTATTGTGTTTTGTATTATACTATAAACTAATTTACTAATTTCTTATAAACTATAGTAAATATACTTTATTGACAGTTCTATAAATAATTATAATACTATTGAATAAAGTAAACAAATTAAATTTGATAAAATTAGTATTGAAGTATAAAATATATGGACTTACCTGGTTTTTGCTTGTAAGCATGTATTTAATAAGGTACGCTATAAGGTTTTCCAAAAACTAAATAATAATTATTGTTTTCCAAGTTTAACCATCAACTAATGTACTTATATTCTATATTATTACTATCCATTAGGGTGTCCCTTATTTTGAAAATTTTGGAAATTCTTCGGGCTCACCCCCCAAATTTATGTGTATACATATAAAAAGTGGCTACAAAAATTTCCAGGCCGATCAGATAAGTTTAACCCGTGCGGACTTGGGGTTGTAAATCGGCCAAAAGGGGTACTTTTTTAGTTTTTAGCAAT